TGCACAAAAATACTATTTTTAAATTTTATATTAAATTAAAATTTTCCAAAACATGTTTTACTCTAAAACTAAATGAAAATAAAAGTCATCTAAACAAGTTGTGTTCCAAATTTGAGGTTGATATCTCAAAAAATTAGCTTTCAGTAAGATTTTGTTTGGGTGCAGTACCAAACGTTTCCACTAGATGAAACTTGCTTCCAATTAGAGGTCTGCGCGGGACTGTTTTTTTAGTCCCGCTCCCGCTCGCTCCCGCAAGGTTCTATTCCGCACCCACCCGCTCCCACTATATATTCACTCTTTGTTCACCCGCTGTCCGCTTAGAATAATTTTCTTCCCGACCTGACCGTTCCTGCTAAATTTAGATCTCGTTTCCATAATCTCACATTTAAATTTCCGCTACTGAAAGAAAGAGAGATAGGCTGACAAATAAAAGTGTATTCTGCACAAAATTGTATGTTATTTTATTTGTCTTGTCAAGAGTCTTGAATTTATTGACTTTGATTTGAATTTATATGAATTATCTTAAGACACAAAATTTGTTTAATATTTTATGCAACACAGTAGGAAAAAAAGTGTTTAAAAATGAAAATAAAAATAAAATAAAAATGTTGTACAAAAATTGTATTTCTTATTTTAATTTGTCTTGTCAGGATACAATTCGTTTAACACAGACAACACAATAGGGAAAAAGTGTCGCAGAGAGAAAAAAATAAAAATGTAGGTTGTACAAAAATAGCCTATTAGCTATTTTTATTCGTCTTGTCAAAATACTAAATTCGTTTGACATTTTTCTGTTAACACAGTAGGAAAAGTGTCGCAGAGAAAAATAAATAAATACGACATCTTTCATTTAAAATTATAGGCTAAGCAAAATATAAAGAAAACCGAGTTGAGCGTCCTTCAAGGACAGCGCATCCACACTTTGCTCCATCCTTATTCTGCTCTGTCACTCATCGACAACCTGCCTGTTCTGTCTGAGGGCCGTATATTTACCACCGGCACAGCCTGCTCTGAGCATCGTTATGCACATGCTGTGCACAGACCACGCAAATAAAACGCCTGACGTTTAAAGTATGCGTGCAGCGTGTGCATAACAGTCCGAGTGAAGGCTGTACCGGTGGTCAATAAGAATAAAGCGCAGATATGCTGTTCTAAATGGACGTCGGGAACGGGATATTGTTAGACCGCACGCTCCCGTTCAAATTACACCAGAGTTACCGACTGCTACCGCATTTTATTGCGCAAAAAATCCGGTCGGTTCATGCAGACCTCTACTTCCAATTAATTTCCGATGCGGTACGTAGTACAAGTGTGACTATTTTTTCTTGAATACATAATTTTGACCATAAAATTTTTTTGGGTTCACACAGAAAGTGCCAAAACCTTTACCAAGTTTCTCATCATTCCGATGAAGTAAAAAATTGAGTTTATTATGCTTAAATAGCAAAAGAAAATGTCAACCAATGGAGTAAGAAAAACAAACTAAATTTATTTTATGCCATTGGCAGACATTTTTCTTGTTTTAAGCGTAAAGTCACTAAATTTTGTTACACTTTTCATAAAAAGTAATTTCATTTTATGTAATTTTTTAATGCAATTTTGCTCATTGCTTCATTCAATTCAGCTTTAAGGAGCTCTACAGAAAACAACAGTGTCATTATTCAGCTCAATTTAGTTCCAGTTTTGTTTTCATCCAATAGTGTCAGTAGCATCAAATCAATAATATTATTAAAGGGGTCATATGATGCGATTTCAATTTTTCCTTTCTCTTTGGAGTGTTACAAGCTCTTGGTGCATAAAGAAGATCTGTTCTTGGTTCATTGTTATTTGGTTGCTGGGGTGTTCAGGGTCTTTATTAGGGTGTCCTAGGTTGGTGCTCTGTGGTTCTTTCAGGTCTAAATGAAAAGAGTCCTGGATCCTTAATATTCTGGTCTTCAGATATGGCTTGGGTCCTTCCTTCAATGCAATTCTGCGGGATTTTTACATCAGTTTTATCATCTGCCCGATGAAAATTGTAAGTCCGATCACTTAGACAAATAATAGCACATATCTCAGCATGATTGGAGAGTTACGAGCTTAAAACTCCTAAACCCGAGAGTGAAGTAAATGGCCCCTAACAAAACAACAAGTGAGATATTTTGACTTTTTCACCCCAATAGACCTGGGCATGAAGGTCCTACTTAATCTCACGCTTGAAACAATGGCATTGTGAGAGCGAAATGACAGCTGCTCTGTTTATAGAGTGGAGATATGGGCTTTATCAGCATATCCCACCTCAAGAATACTAGGGATCTGATAACAGCTCCCCTTAAATACACCTCAGAAAGCTCTTAAGAGAGCCAGGAATGTCTCCAGGCTTTCGGAGAAGCGTTGAAGGACGCGTCCCGTCGCTGGGATGATGACAGCAGGGGAACACTGAGGCTGTTAATCCTCAGATAGAGCAAATAGTCTGTATACATGTTTCAGCCTCAGCATTCACTCAGCGCCAGCGTCTCGTTTCCTCATGAAGGATAAGCATAGACGACTATGCAGTCTGATTTATAGGGCTGATGGAATGATTATTTTGCAAATGGACAACATTTTCTGACACCAAAAGGGTTTTTTATGCATGCTTTGCCGTTCATCGAGAGCTTTCACTATGCAAAAATGATTTTGTCTCGTTTTCTATAACAAACATCTAAACATTCTTAAATCAACATAGATTTTCATGAGAAGCAAAATGGCAGGAGTCTTGTTTTTACGCTTAAAAAACGAACAAATTATGTAACACTTTACTTAAAGCATTTATGCTTAATGCATTATAAAGGTATTCATAATGTACATTGTAATGCATTATGTCTTTTCATAAATAATTGTAACCCAAGTTAAAACACATTATAATATTTGAAGGTTTGTTTGTCATGTGTTTTAATGCATTATACTTTCTAAATGAATAGATAAGTATTATAATATATTATCACTGTGGTTACAATTATTCATGAGATTATACAATGCATTACAAGGCATAATTAATGCATAAAAAATACTTTTATAATGCATTGAATATAAAGGCTTCACGTTAAGTGTTATCAAAATGTCTGCCGATGGCATAAGAAAAATAAGCTTGTTTTCTCTTTAAATTAAGTTACATTTTTCTTATCCCACTGACTGATATTTTTTCTTGCTTTAAGCATAAACATTTCATTTTGATCTTTTTTTTTTTCAGAAAATAAGACTTATCTTACGCAGTTTTGCTTCTCAAGTAAATGTATCTTGATTTAAGAAAGCTTAGATATTTGTACTGGAAAACAATATAAAAATACTGAGAAAGAAATCATTTTTGCAGTGCAAATATCAAACCTTGAGTCTTAGAACTCAAATGCTTTATAGTTATTAATATGAGTACATGCACAAAGTGTCACATGCACACTAAGATACTTAACATTCAGTAATATTATGGATTTGATAGCATTTACACTATTGGATGAGAATTAAGCTGAATAATAACACTATTGCCTTCTGCAGAGGTGCTTTACAGCTGAGCTTTTCTGAGCAATATGACATCATACTGCTCAGGCCCCGCCCACGACCGCTGACGGACTGTCCTGTATTAGCATATCTCCGCCCTCAGCCGTTTTCTCCGCCCTCGAGCAGCTGTAGCGACAGCAATGTCTCGTAAGCAATGCAGATGTTTTGTAGTTTGATGTAAAAGTGAATACAAGAGTCTTCATTTTCTCCCGACATCAGAGCCACTGAGGACACAGTGGATTAGTTTTGTTTTTGATGGTAAAGCGCACACCGAATACACCTAAATTCATTTATGTCTGCGCAAATCATTTTACTCCACACTGCTTTCTGAATGAGGGACAATCCAAGGCAGGTTTTGCTAAAAAGTTTAAAAACTCATGGATGGATCAGAACCCACTGTTCATGATCCAGCTGCACCTCCAGAAGAAGTAAGTCTCACACTTTATATTTCTTAAGATTATTTTTAAATCGCCTTTCCTCTTCCATGGAAGAGAGGGGCGGGGTGAGCAGAGCTCATTAGCATTTAAAGAGACATGCACCGAAGCGGGTTGCTGTGAACAGAGCTGTTTTTGATAAGGTAAAAGGGTGTTATTTTACACGACCACTGAGGAATTTTAACCAAAGTATGTTACAGACATTTCATGAAGACACTAAAGAATCATACCAACTTGTGGAAAATAGGTATCTGATGCCCTCTTTAAGGTAATTGACTTGAACAAACTCCTAAAACTAAGTATGAGCAAAAATAACAAGTGATGAAAACTGCCAGTATAAACCAGCAACAACAAATGCTAGACTATTCGGTTTTCTCCAGGTCTGGAGTCTATTGTAGACGAGGGCAAAAGGTACATATATAGATACAGAGGTGTATAGAGGTGCAGCTCGCATGCAGAGCAAACTCAACGTGGACATTATGGATCGAGGCCATTTGTGCATTTTGAGAGAGTGGGAGAAGACGCAGTACCACTCAGTCCCAATCACTCACGCTGTTTGTGAAATTCCGTCTCACAGAAAGTTTGAAACTGACTGATCTGCTCTGAGAATCTGTTTGGATTCAACCTACATGCTATAGTGCATAAATGTTTGCGGTAATTTCCCGCTTTATAATCGCGAAACCTGCGGGAATGTGTAGAATTATGGCAGATTTGTTCTGCACATGTTGCCCTTAATGGCACCTTCCTTTTCAAAGTGATTCAAGCAATTCAAAACCATCATGGATGTACATCTCAGCAGGGGACAAGGCCAAGAGAGGATCGCCCCTAGATTCCTCCTCTATTAACACCAAACTAACCTGATAAACCCAGCTGGATCACAAACATTCTGTCCAGCAAACCAGAACCTCATTTGCATTTTTGTCTTGTTTTCCAGCAGAAAGATCTAAACTTCCTTCAAACGAAATCCAGAACAAGATATTCTTTACCCCTAACTGGTCAATGTTCTGTACAGGCTTATGCTTTAACGTAAAGACATGACATTTTCATTGGTTAGTCTACCTTGGCACGTCCTCTCGTTGGTCAGAAGTTTGTATCCTTTCTTGCAGCTACATTCGAAGCTGCCAACCGTGTTTCTGCACACATGGTCACACCCGCCGTTGTTCATGCGGCATTCATCAATGTCTGTAACGAGAGAGAGAGAGAGAGTTTGAGCAGATACACATGCACTGGATTAGTGCTGTTCCCTTCAGTTCACCGTGATTCAAACCATCAGCGGAGGACACATGTGAAATAATCCAAAGGTACAAGGGGTGGCTGACCGTAAATATGACAGATTTGCTTGGGCTTAAACTATCAGCTTACTGTTTGAGTCAGAAGAAGAAAGAAAAAGAAAAGATTTTTCTTTCATATAGAAATGTTATAGAAATGTAAACAATTTGGGGAAGCTTATATTATTACAAACATTTCACATTTTTAAGAAAAGAAAAACCCTTTCGGTTTACAATGCAAAAAATAATGAATAAATGCAAAAGAAAGAAATTTGCAAAAAAAAAAAGAAAAGAAAAATATTTTTATAGAAACTGTACAGAAATGTATACAAATTGGAGAAACTTATAAAATCAAAGAATACTTCATTTCTAAGAAAAATTAAACCTTTCAATCTACAGATTAAGAATAATAAATAACAGCAAAAGACTTAAGTCACATAATCACATAATAATAATAATAAAAAAAAACTATTAAAATGAATTTCATGTCATTAGAAAATTAAAACACATTTTACTCCTAATTAATTTCACCTAAGGATTCACCACGACTGCACACATAATCAGACTTGAATCCTAGGAGCTTTAAGTGTCTTAAATATTGCTAATTTCCTTTCAGCCGACATAAAATTCACCAGAGAAATTCACTTTATTTTCTGAAGCAACATATTTGTGTCTAAATATTACGTCTGCGATATTAAACATTTCTGGTTTCCTCAACCACAGTTCTAAAATCTAAACAATGACATTTTATACACATTTATATCAGAGATTGATGCACAGTTACACATTACACAATACACATTTTGCAGAAGCTTTTATCCGAAGCAACTTCTATTGCATTCGGTTTACATCAGTGTTTGCATTCCCTGGGAACTGAACCCATGACCTTGGCGTTGCTAGCGCCGATCTCTAGAGTCTGAACTACAGGAATCAAAGAAGAGAAATGAGAAAATGAGGCAAGCAGACAAGAAATGAGGAGAGAATAAGAGAAAGGAGCGAATGCGAGAAGACGAGTGGATGGGGACGGACACACATGGAGCGAATGTGCGACTTCAGAGCGTTTGTGGACTCCGACAGGAGGAAGTCTTTCAGGATCGCGTCTCCTCTGGCCTGTTCTCTCGGAATCAGGGATCAATATATCATCAGCTTGTCCTGCTTTCCATGGGCTTTGATTGAGCTGCACTGGATGTTTCTGATTACGGCTGAATCATCTGAGTAAATGAGGCGTTCATTTCACAGAAAGACTGCATCATCTGGAGAAAATAACGGCATTAGGAGCAGAAGAAACGCTCGCTCTGGGCCTGAAGGAGGCTCTGTGTCTTCTCGTGCCAGTGCTGTCTGGGGATGTTTTTCTTTGTTTCTTCTACTGCAGAACTAATAAAACTCAATGTTCTTTTATCGCTCTTGTTAGCGTAACGTTATGAGCGCTAGAGGCGACGCAGGCTCCCAGTCTTGGCCGCACGAACCCGCAAGTCTGCACTTCCAGTTGCTCTTCACCCTTTCGGAAACCCTTTTCTTCTTCATTAAACCCTTTTGTGTTCCCTCATCTATTTTTCATGCTTCTTTGCTTTCTTCAAACGTAGTCGTTGATTTATATACACTTTTTCTCACATTTTTCTGGCCTACAACATCAAGAGCTAGAGCTACGTTTAAGGCAATTTTATCTTGGTGGCTGAAAATGTTTGAGTACCACTTACAGAAAAAAAAGAAAAGAAAATAAATTATATAGAAATGTATAAATTGAGGAACCTTATAAAATCTTATAAAAGAAAAAAAAAAACTTTTAATTTAAGCAGTAAGAATAAATATCTGCAAAAGACTGAAATACAAAAACAATCAATTTAATTACAAAATTTAACTCTCCAATAAAAAAAAATATATTTTTTGTCATTTCAAATAATGAACCTAATTAATTTAACCTAAGAATCCACTTTGACCACAGATTTAATTAACAATAATAAGACCGCTTGTCATTTTGTAAAAATCAGACTCTGCTTCAATCCTAGCAGCAATATGTGCTTTAAATATTGCTAAAGTACTGATAATTTGGCTTCACCCACAATAAAAATGTACCAGAGAAATTCACTTTATTTTCTCTCAATTTACACAGTAAAAAAAGAAACATAAAAAAAATGTATTCAAATTTGTACAAATACAAACCTACTGTATATATTATAACAAAGAATTAATTTAAGGAAAAAAAAAACATTTACACAGTAAAAATAATAAATAATCCTGCACTATAGGAAATAAACAGAAATATAGGTGTAGAGGTCGCTAACTACCTTTACCCACCAAAGCAACACTATTTTGGTGGTTTTTACGTGACGTCAAAATGGTAATTCACTTTATTTTCTCTCAGTTTACACAGTAAAAAAAGAAACATAAAAAAAATTTATTCAAATTTGTACAAATACAAACCTACTGTATATATTATAACAAAGAATTAATTTAAGGAAAAAAAAAACATTTATACAGTAAAAATAATAAATAATCCTGCACTATAGCAAATAAACAGAAATATAGGTGTAGAGGTCGCTAACTACCTTTACCCACCAAAGCAACACTATTTTGGTGGTTTTTACGTGACGTCAAAATGGTCAGGTAGGTACACTTTCATGAAACGTTCCCAACGTGTAATTACCAGATCTTCAAAGACGTGAACGCAGTTTACAAGTTGAGAACTCATAATTATGGTAATTCAGAAATGATGGCATGCAATAATGAGTCTGGGTGGGACTGGTAGTTTTTTTATTTCTCGTCTTTGAATTCAAAATCTGCTGAAAGCTCCAGGATTGATCACAATGTGAAACCTCGTCCATGTAAAACGACATTTTTGCAAAGTAATATGATGAGAAATTTTTGCTCTGCCCATTGAACCTCACTGCTCCTATCATCTATCTATCTATCTATCTATCTATCTATCTATCTATCCGCTTATCTATGCAGTCATCCATTCGTCCATCAATCCATCTGCCTACCTATCCATCCGTTTATCCCTTTTAAAGGGATAGTTCACCCAAAAATGAAAAATGTGATGTTTATCTGCTTACCCCCAGACTTTGTTTCTTCAGTAGAACACAAACGAAAATTTTTAACTCAAACCGTTGCAGTCTGTCAGTCATATAAATGGAAGTGAATGGGAATCACGGCTTTGAGAGTCAAAAAAACATACACAAAATCAAGTGTTCTACTGAAGAAACAAAGTCACCTACATCTTGGATGCCCTGGGGGTAAGCAGATAAACATCAAAATTTTAATTTTTGGGTGAACTATCCCTTTAATCTCTTTCATGTTAAACTACATTTTTGCAAAGCAATGTGAAATGTTTGCTCACATTGAACCCTCAAAATCTGTCTTTTAATCTGCTGGGATTTTATTGCCTCGTGCATCATTTTCTCTTTTAACTAGAACAGAAGAATGCATGTCGCTCCTAATTAGGATTGGTAGATTGGATTTGTCTGTGAGATGAGGGGATGATCTCTGTGTGATGGTACCTTTGCAGGTCTTGCGGTCCAGCTGTAGGGTGAATCCCACCGGGCAGCTGCAGCGAACTCCAGTCACGGCGTCATGGCACGTGCTGTCACAGCCTCCGTTATTAACCGCACACGTCTCTGAAAACACACGCACACACACACACAGAGCAGCAGTCAGGACAGGATCAGCTGGACATATATGTGGATATCAAACCTCATGAACATCCTGGATGTCTCGCACACCCTGGACAGCTTTGATTAGTTTAGTCATGAACGCAGCACATGCAAGCCAGCAGCAAATGTCTGTCAAACACCTTGTTATTGAGTGTCGTCTAATGGGAGGGTTAGAGTTCAGTTCAGCTAAAGCATCTCTTAAGCAGCAAATTAATTAAATTAATGACACTTTAAACATTATACATTTGCATAAATTTGAACTTTGTTCAACTTTGTTGCATCACTAAGACTCAAATCATTAAAAAAAAAAAAATTTCTTCCAGTCACTTTGTACAAATAAACCACCCTTTTAAGTATTTAAAATAATAAAAAAAATTATTTATTTATCAATCTATCTATCTATCTTGATACTTTCAGGGTTTGGGGTAGTCATTAAAAACGACAATACATGAAAAACTAAAAAAAGAATTTTTTTTATCTGATATATTAATGATTATAATTATTATTTAATGATATTATTATTATTTTATTTCTTTTAATTGTTATGTACGTTTGGGATAGTCAATAAAATCTTGAACAATACATAAACAACAAAAAAAACACTATTTTAATCTATTATATAGTGACGCTTATAAATAAATAGATTAATATTAAGAATAATAATTATTAATTTAACTTGTTACTTTCAGGATGTGGGGTAGTCAAGAAAGAAAGAAA